AAATGTCTCTAAAATGACACATTACATAACATGTATAAGAACTTAAACTTCAGGGTCAAGGTTATAGTTAATTTATTATTTTGCATTTGAATGTGAATATTGAAAATGGTCACCGCGAATACTATAAGTATGAAGTATGGAACATTGATTTAAGTGTATAGTGCTTTCCAGAACGGTCCCGCCTATTTAACTTTTGAGGTGGTCAAGCTAGCAGGCTAAAATTTGACAGGTTGAAATTGACGCACAAATACTATATTTCAAACTGAAAACAACAGTTGAAAAATTCAAGATGGCGAACTGGCAGGCTGACAAATTTGGGCGTTCTGTATGTTACGTCAATCTTTTTCTTTTAAAAGATTCTATCTGAATGTGCAATAAAATATAAGACTGAAAAACTAGCAGACTTTTGCAATCTATTTAAATGAAATATATTTTATTAGAGCGGTATAGTATGTTAGGTCAATCTTTTTCTTTTGAAAGCGTCTATCTGAATGTGCAATAAAATATAAGACTGAAAAACTAGCAGACTGTGACAATTTATTTAAATTAAATATATTTTATTAGAACGTTATAGTATGTTACGTCAATCTTTTTCTTTTGAAAGGGTCTATCAAAATGTGCAATAAAATATAAGTCTGAAAAACTAGCAGATTTTGACAATTTATTTAAATGGAATATATTTTATTACATATTCGGCTAGATCCTTCCAAGTAAAGAATATTTGTATAGCGTTTCTATGATTGGTTGTCAACTCAATAACCTACCGGCTCACCATTCTCAAAGATGGTAATTTCATATTCTGGAGTTATATGGTAATCTTAAGAAGCCTTATAATGAGGTATAACACGTTCCGCACTATTTAAAATATGTTCAAAACTGGCGCCCAGTCGTTATCTTCAAACCTTCAACTTCATGCATCAATTTTATTACCCCCATTTCAGCTTGCAAAACATAGCTAGGGGGAAGGGGGTGAAAAGCACTGCATAATCTTTAAGTAAATAATCCGTGCAGTATAAATGGTGTCTCAAATGGCTATGATGCAGGAGCTAACACTCTTATTTGGAGAGATGTTTCTGAGTGTATTCATATTTGCAAATAAAAGTGTTATAAGACTCAGATTTGATTTTGAGAGCACTTCATTATTCAATATTAGGTTTAATTTTTTTAAACTATATTATTGTTGTCATGCTATTCTACTATGTTTAACTCAATATCACGTTACTTATATATTGTTATTCTACTATTAGGGGAAGTATACGACTTACAATTATCAAGAAAAATATAGTTGCATATAAAGACTATGATATGCCAAAGCTAGTTACTATAAATTTAATATATAATATTTAGCATAATGTTTTTAAAAAGTATGTACTTATTCTTATGGTAGTATTTTTTCGTGCTTAGTTTAAGCTAAATATTCATGAAATAATTGATTCTAAATAGCCAATACCATTTTTTAATAAACTTGAATTGGTAAATGATGCTTCCAAATACGATTTTTTTCTATACTGGCATAAATTCAGAAGCAGTTAAGTCAAAAAGGTCAAGTATTATTACTGGTAGACTATCTTAGTATTAATTTAAATTTAATTGTTACTCAGAAGTATATTTTCATCTAAATTTAGTCATTTGATCTGGTTTATTTCTGGAAAAATTGATTCTAACGATTTAATAATTTAATTATTTTAGCCGAACTGTTGAGTTCTGTTATATGGCGATTCCAAAAATAAGTATTTTCCATAAATGAGCCAGCTCAAATTTATAAAGTATTATTATTAATAAAATTTAGAATTTAGTGTTTTGATATCGCTTTTATTTCAGTAGGTATAGGATAGATTTTTATCTCAGTGTTGGTATGTATTTGGTATGTTATAATTTCGGAAGAATAGGATAAGATGATTAAAACAATGTTTGCGTATACCTGCCTGGTGAGACAAGCACATGTGTTATGCTGTTAACAATTTTGTTCATCAATGAGTGTTTGTAGTTCTTATTCAATAGTAAACAAAATATTTCTTCATACCAAACAGTATCACACCAGGGTTTCTTTCAATATATCATAAAGGTATGTTTATGTTTTTTTTCTTTAAAATCTAATAAAATGACTGTACAGTCTGATGTTTGTTTCATTTTTATCCCTTTTGTTTATTTTTCAACCTCCACACTTTTTTGAAATTATAGCGCATGCAACATTATCAAAATCACACCAGAGTACGTGGCTGCAATAGTTTTTTTTAAAATAAAACAACATTGTTTAATTCGGATCGCATCCATCAGGTTTTCAAATTAGTGGAGTAATGACAGTATTCTTAAAAGGATTAAATGGAAGTGAGTGGCATTTTATAATAGGAGGAATTAGTAAGCTGCTCTTATCGCCAATTTTGTGAGGAGAATATTAAATTAGAGACAGTACATTATCATTATGGTTATGCACCGGGAAGGTATGTAAGCATGTATCGCCAATAAATAGATAGGAACTAATATATTCAATTCTAGATACAACATGATTCATAATTGCGAAACTGATGATCAATGCTTTATTCAGATAATTTTACAAGCCACTTGCTTTCGACGTACATACTTTTGCTTCTCATTGATAATAGATTTGAAATATTATGTCATGCGAACATTAATCAGTCTAACTCACGTTTGGCTTTCTATAGGTACATACTTGTTGTTTTACACCGGAACAGCCGCGGAGGTAGAAGCCTAATTGGCAGGACCCCGCATCGAAACAAAAAGTACTTCGATTCAGAAATAACAAAATAGGGAACATATTTTCTTGTTGGATTTGCTTAGTTTAGCATTGATAAACATATTCTACATAAAGATAGCAGATCATATACTGTATTTCGGAATCCAAAACATTATCCGAAATGAAATTAGATCCCTTAACCTCATTATTGAGAATTTGTCACAGTTTTGTTGGTCCTCTTCTTTGTATTGCCAATTTGCATGTAACCGACAAAGATAGACGATGTTTTCATGTTGCATGATCGATCATATTTGAAAGATGAATAGTTAGGTTATGTTAAAGCAGGTTAGGTGGTTTTCGAATAATACTTTGGTCTTTGGTGTTCCTGTCTTAAGCTATTCTACTCATAAGTGTTTTGTTCATAACAAAAACTCCCCACTAAAATTATTATTACGGTATTCTCAAAACCATGAAATAAAATGAAAATAAAAATAATCAGTGAAGTAACCTAACTTCACAAAATGATAACACAAATTTGTTGTCATTATGTTCCTGAAATCGTGATTTTATCAACGACGTACGTCCATTGATTACTTCAGTACGATTTATGGTATGACATAATATAATAGTCATCTCTCGTGATTTTGACTATATCTCAGTTACCAGTCGATGGCTCGTGTACAGTGATGGTACTACGGAGATCTACAAAACAAAATGAAAACTTATCTCCACATTGCCAAGAGACAAAAAAGTTTTCAGTTCTTTTGTTTCGTGCAGTACGCACCAAATATTTTCAGACTGAAATTATGTGGCGCTTTTATGCTGAAAGGCAGAAGCGCAAAGATTTTATCATAATGTCTGCTGGTTATGTGTGTCTCCAGAGTTGCGGCCGAGAAAATAAAAAACGCTTTTGTAAAAAACCATCCTTACGTGAAAGAGATGATTGTGGTATTGAAAAACTATTGTCCGATTTGCGTAAAGGCGATATTGGATTGCGAGGAGAAATGCGTTCTAGTTTCGAAAACATTTTAAGAATATCCAGAGATACTAGTTTCTGTTTTATATTTGTTTCTCAACAAAGTACACGTCGCACCGACAATGTTGCCTGAAATGAAAACCAAACAGAAACCTTTTGATCTTCACCGACTCCCGACTAGAACGCCAAAAGTTGCCAGAAACAGAAACAAAACACGATTTGTTGACGAAATGTTGCCGATTTGTTGCTTAATTGTTGAAAAACATTAAGTTGCTATTTTGTTTCTTTTTTGTTGGTTTGGTGTGGACCCGGCGCAATACTTCATGTATATTGCTTATCCATGAATGAAGTATCAACGAAATGACGACCAATAATTCGATTGTTAAAAGTTAACTCCGCCCTATACATTTAATGACCATCAGTGTTGAGAACATGTTATTGCAAACCGGTAATCGTTTCCAGTACTCTCACTCTATACAAGGCTCAGATAAGGCGAGTATTGCTCACACGTTTGGGGGTGCTGCCGCCCTGACTACATTATCCATGCTCGATGCTGTCCAGAGGAGGGCGGTCCGACAGATCGATGACTCTTCTCTAACAGACAGTCTCGGGACTCTTTCGAATCGGTGGGTCGTCGGCGATCTAACTCTTTTCTATCGGTACACCAACGGGCTTTGCTCCTCAGAGCTCTCTTCCATTATGCCGCCGTGCGATGTGGCTTCTAGACAGACCCGCTCCTTTGTCCCGAGGGTGTCGAGATCGTGGGACAATCTACAAGAGGAAGCTTTTCCCAGTTCTACTAACCTTAGGCAGTTCAAAAATCGTATTAACAAAATTTCTTTGGGATCATCATAGCAGCCGCGGTGTTCCGGCATTTAGGCTTCTGCTTGCGCGGCTGCTTCGATATAAAAAAAAAGTACAGGAATGATAAAAATTGTGCCTATCCACACATCCAAAGTACCCCAAAATCCTATATGAAATAGTAAGTAAGAATGTGATATTTTGATTCACGTCGCTCCAAATCTCTTATTTGAATAATAAGACACGGGATATCCGCGAACTGCTCTAAAATACTTTCCAGTCGAACGTTAATCGGTGATTATAGTGTTCTGAAGCAGGCTGTATGTAATATGAGACGTCTATACAGATTTATCTAAAAATATTCTTGAAAGATGTGAGATAACTTATACAAATTTATTTAGGTTTCAGTTTTTTCTTACATTAGCGCCATCTATCATGCGAAAGTGTCACGATTAGAAATGTGAGTGTAGAAACCTTTTATTTCACCAATTTATGATGGATATCTTAATGACACAGAACAACTTGAAACTTCGTGTTTCGTGAGTCAGATTGTCAGACGTCATGTCCATTTTGGGTTTGTACACAAGTGGTGTTATAGTGTATAAAAATATACGCTTTTAGCCGAATTTGCCACAGTTAAAAGTTGAAAAAAGGACCAGCGGTGTTATTTAAAGGATTGGAATGGAACAACCTTCTTTCGAGTACAATAAAATACTTACTGGGCTGCAAAATATAGCCTTTGACTTGACGTTCAATACCTATATTTTTGTTCCAACTATGGTGTAAATAGTCTAGCAAGAGCATTCAATCGATAAATATGATAAAACGACTATTGCAGGTATGCAGTATTTCTTATTTGATTGACTGTGGATATAATTTTTCATTAGAACAAAAATACCTAAAGACTATGGTGTTTGTATTTGACATCTGGCCCATACCAGTATCTGATCTTTTGAGGTATCTAAATGCCCTTGTAGTCATTTAATAAGATGTTTGGTTAATTTGTTCTAATTAGCTCTGTATCTAGGTACTAATTTGCTGGCACCTGTATTACATTGGAACTATTATCGAAGATTTAACAACTGTCAGGATAATTCAGCCTTTAAGATTGAGAACATTGTGCAATAAATGGTTTTTCTATTCAGATGGGGCAAAAACCTTGCATTTGAACTGGAAATTAACTTAGTACACATTTGTTTAACCCCTTTGCTGCCGAGGTAACCAGTAATTAATACTCAATTTACTTGGCTCTGAGTATTCTCAGGTGACCACTATAATCAGTAGCATATTTTGATCTCGAGCTTGGGGGCATTGGTTTCCAGAGGGAGGGGGAGGATAAAAAAAATAATGCCAGTGATTTGTCCGACTTTCAGTATTATGCTTTCAAAATTGTAAATTGTCATAACAAAAATAAATTAAACATTCAATCAGACAATGTTTCAAGCCAGTGTTTTCAAGATTTCTTTTTCAAAATTTTTGAGTGGGGGGTCAATATTGAATGAAATGTCATATTGTCCCTAAAAAACTGGCATCTATCTGTTTTGTGTAATTTTGAGGTAAGTTACACAGTTTTATATTTTGCCACAGGTAAAGTGAATATAATACAAGTTTTATGGATATTTATAGACTTCTTGAAAGAGCAGAAATCATAATAAACCTGTTAAAGAGTTTGCAAATAGCATCACAGTGCTTTTCTGAAGAAAGTATGTAATATTTCACTTTTGTAGTAAAAAATACTCTTGTATTCTCCAGTGTTTTTGAGGAGCATGTTGATTCAAAAAAATATGGAAAGTTGATGAAAAATGGACATGGATCTCACTAGAAAAATCTAAAAAGACTTATTTTCTTGTTTTGAAGTGAATTGTTTTTTTCCATATATTTTATGACCCATCACAAAATACACATGCCCAGTGCTCCCCTATTTATTGTTTGAATGAGGCTAAAATGCAGAAAAATGCAAGAATAATACATTTTAACATAAAAATAACAATCGCAAAGCTCAAGATGGTCACTGGGCGCCATCGTGTAACATTTTTTCTCTCCAACAAATGCGAGATTTTTGTCCTATCTATGTATTTGTTATTTGTAAAACTTCTCAGTTTGCTTTGAGAGGTTATTTACACAAGTCATATTGCCAAGATGATATCTACAGTAATGGACAAAAGTATATATACAAATATGAATATTTACCTAAAAACGAAATCATACTTCATTGCTCCATAAACAAATGCGTTATTAGTAGAAAAACTAAATTCCTTGTTTTTACACACAATACAAGTGTGAATATAAGGAAAAAAAATATGTAGACATATTCTTTTCAACATTAGTTTAGTACAGTTTCAGAAGAGGATTAGTTTGTGTCCATCAAGTATTGTGGAATAAGTTGAGTGATTTTAAGACCATGCCGCGTGGTCCAGAAATTTCTTTCGATGTGAAAACTAAGATCATTGAGTTATAACAAAGATGGTCAACGTCAAGTCGACATTGCCAAAAATTTGAAGCTGATGCGTAAAGCAGTTTGGGCAATATTGAACAAATATAAACAAAAAAGTATCTTGGAAGCCTCTAAGAGAAGTGATCGGCCTAGAAAACTAAATGCTAGGTCAGTTAGATTATTAGTAAGTATTTTCGTCCAAAGATCCGTTAAAACCCCAAGACAAATAAAAGCCGAAATCGAGACAAAAGTAATTGCCAGTGTTTCTACGAAAACTATAAGTAGAAGATTGAATGAATTGAAGTTATTTGCACGTCGCTCGAGTAAGAAGCCGCTAATTTCGAGGAAAAACCGTAAGGACCGATTGCAATTTGCACGGTAGCATCTTGATTGGAGAATCTTTGACTGGAAGAGGGTATGTTTCAGTGACGAATCCAAGTTCAATATGTTTGGATCAGATGGTGCTCATTATGTTAGACATCCTAGTGGACAAAGATTGAACCCCAAGTACACTTTGCCCACTGTCAAACATGGAGGCGGGTCTGTTATGGTTTGGGCGTGCTTTTCGGGGTTTGGGATGGGATCTTTACATAGAATAGATGGCATTATGGATAAGTTTGTATACACAGACATACTAAAGCATCTCATGTTACCCTATATGGAAGACAATATGCCCTTAAGATCAATCTTCCAGCAAGATAATGACCCGAAGCATACTTCAAATCTCGCAAAGAAATTCTTTCTGGATCAAAAAATACCAGTTCTCAAATGGCCTTCACAGTCTCCCGATATAAACCCCATGAAAATCTATGGGAACACTTAGATAAGCAAATACGAGATGAAAATTATTCAAACAAGGATGAACTTTTTGCTGCTTTAGAGCAAAAGTGGAGACAGACTGATGAATCTTATATCAAGAAACTTCTACAATCTATGCCGAGACGATGCCAGGCGGTGATTGATAATAATGGTTATGCGACAAAATATTAACCCAAACATGGTTGGTTTTCTATAATTCAATGAACTTTGCTTCTTTTTCTATAATTGTTTTGCTTTGTCTATATATTTATGTACAAATAAGTATTATGCTATAACGAATTATTTATACAGGTTGGTGTATTAATAAAACAAGTTAAAAAAGAAATACAGCACAATATTAGTTTGTCTCTATACTTTTGTCCATTACTGTATATTTAAGATATTTTCATTTTTTAAGTATTGCTTTAGATATTGCATAGGTTCTTGAATACCATGAATCAAGTTGTATTGACCTTGAATATTATGTATGCCTAAAATTTGGCGGTTTAGCGGCAAATATATGAGCAGACCGATAGTTAAACATTCAAGAAATATTTTAGAGCATCAGGATAGTATATCAGATGAAGCAATTTTTATTTTAGGTGTTTAGATGAGGTCACTATCAGAATTATGACACTTTACTGGTGGATGCACTGGTTTTGGATTACATATCTTACATTCAGTAAGTGTGAAAATTTTCATGTTTACATCAGTACTACCGAATTCTTGAAACTCCATATTTGACGCGTTTAGACGCCCCTCTTGACTTGAGACTGTTTGTTTTAGTGATCTCTGGGGAAAATATAACAATATTACATTCCATTTCAACGGATTGTCTTCCGTCTTATGAGAATAGTACGCCGAATGTGACAACCAAAGCCTCTATTCTCTGTCCATCGAGCACCGTATATCCCAAGCCTCCAGAAAAAAGTACAATACCACCAAAAAAGCTCATATTCAAGTCAGTATTGCCTCCGATAAAAAAGGCAAATATTTCTTCTGTGATAAAATTCAACACAAGCAGTTATGATTCCAATTCAACGGCACTTTTTATCTCCAACCAAACAGATAACATAACCTACATAGAGGGAGAATCAAAAAGTAACCAAAGCCTTTTGAGGCTTGCCGATCTGACAGGAGTAGAGAATGAGACAGTTTCAAATGGAACTCTATCCGCTGCTGGTATAACGGGTATCACTCTCGGTTGTGTCATTATTGTTGGAGTATTGTCTGGTATAAGTTATTTTATTTATCGGAATAGAAGCCTAAATCAACCACAAGTACTTAATGATAGGTGCAGCAACCCTGACTCCAGTGGTTACATCGATGATGCCTCAGTAAGAGTAAGCTTTTTTACATTATTTTTTCGTTGCGAGCTTGCTGTTGTCTCAACGTTTTCATGGGGGAAAATTGTCAGGATTGATCAACGCATTCTATCTGAAGATACCCGACCGTGTACTGTATTTCTGCGCAGACTTGCGTCGAATACCGAAATCCGGTATTCGGATACGAATCCTCAACACTGTATTCTAAATTGTATTGGGATATTGAGAGTTGAATACAAAGAAATTTTAAGAACGATTGTTTATTTATGTACTTCAGTTATAAAAATATATAAAAAATTAAAAATACATGACTATATCCAATAAAACTGATACTGATACAGGGTTTGTCCGAAAAGTAATAGAACTCATTTTCATCCGCCATGACTGTACTTCGGAGCGTGCGCGCATCGACTGGATTCGGTAGAGGGCGTTCCTAGCTACCGAATAAGCGGCTGGTCAGTTGTCTCCGAGCACTTGAAGAGTCAGGACAGGCATTTTCGCGTGACGTGTTTCTGTGAAACTCGGTAAATCTGCGACAGAGACGTTTGATATGATCAAGCAGGCTTACCCAGGTGTTGCTTTAGCAAGAAGTGGTGTGTTTTGGTGGCACCAGGCCTTTTTGGAGGGCCGGGAAGAGGTCGCTGATGAAGACCTTCGACTTCGACAAACACCAATAATGTGACTCGTGTGAGCAAAGTTTTGAACTCAGACCGTCGACTAAGTATTCGTTTAATTGCCCAGATGTTAAATTTACCAAAATCTGGGTCCGACAAGACATCGCAGCCGATTGGAAGTTGCACCACAACGCCCCGGCTCACACCGCCTTTCTTGTGAACAGCTACCTGACCAAGGCCGGCATCCCAACGCTTCCGCAGCCGCCCTACAGCCCAGATGTGGCCCCCGGACTTTTTTTGTTTCCTCGCCTGAAAAGGCCGATGAAAGGCAAGCATTTTGAGACGACAGAGGGGATCCAAGCAGCATACACCGCGGCTCTCAAGGCTATTCCAGAGAATTCCTTTCTGAGCCTATTTTGAATGTTTTTAAAGAATTGTAACGATTGACTCAATACATTTTTTTAAATCGACTCAGTCCTATTACTTTCCGGACAAACCCTGTATATAGTGTCACAGTTCACAGTGACAAATTCATTGTATAATAAAAAACTTTCTTGGAATTTTATTAGATTTTTATAGAAAATTAACAGAATAAAACTTAATAAGAAAATATATGAATCCTACACAATGTACCTACATAATTGGAACTTAATTTTTTATATATCCACTTTATCTGGTATCACACACAAATTATAACAGGTATTAAAATTTATTATACTGCACAAGCATAAGTGCATACGTAAAATTGTTTTTTGGACGCTGATGGTTGGATATCTTCAGGTAGACAGTAATCAATGTTATGATGTAACTTCATGCTATATCAGCAGCTGTACCATAGATATCACCTGGTCTAGTTTGTTAGTGATATAGCATCTGCCTTTACATCTTTGGAATACATACATCTTTCCAAGCTTTTTAGCAATATCGTCATATTTTTTTTTTCATATTATCAAGACCAGATTGACATTGTTACTCAGTTTAGTATTTCTTTCAGGATAATTCAGAAGAAATGTACAGCTTGGATAACGACTCTTTCCTTAACAGTTTAGAAGCTATGACTATCCAAAATTACTGGACAGATACTGTCAAGCATACAAAATTATGAGACCTGTTGGAAAACTGCTTGGAAACATTCTTAATACTGGTTGATTTAATTTATTGTTGTACAGTTTGATTTTATTATTGTACATAGCTTTTGTTATTTCTATTTAGAATCTGTGATGCATATCAGTTATAGTTTTATCTAGTACACTATTTTTAATAGTTGGTGGTCATATTTCCGCGAATACTTTAACAATTTAGTATATTACTTACTAATTGATTAGTTGTTCTGCAATTTAATTTTTCGCAATAAATCTTTTCTATGGCTCTATCATTTAGATATGAGCTAGATTACTAGTTTTTATCAATTGCTGACTTTTTATAATGAACGACTTGGTTACAAATGCCTCAAATGCTCTTTGCTTGGTTATAATTCTCGCAATATTGTATAGTTCTGAACCTACAATAGGCCTACCTAGCGGAAATGAACCACCGTATGTAAGGTAATGCTTATAATTCATATTTTAGTTTAAGTTGATTAAAGAAGAGTTGTATATAGGCAATTAGTGAAAAACCAACTTGTTGTAAAAGAAGATTAAAAACATGGAAATGTATGCAAAACGTGACGTGATATAGATATACCCAAACAAATAAAATGGTCTAAGTATTATTGTGTATTATTTCGATGAATCAGAAAATAACACTGAAGAAACAAACTGAAATGGTCAATAATATATTTTATTTTGTCTTCTATACTAAAAAAAATTTATATCGAGACAAATAAATGAAAAACCCTTGTGCGCGGGTAAACAAATGTACAAAATATTCTTATAGTATATACTAACAACAACACAACACGATATGCTTTTCTTTATTCTAATGTAACATATGCTGTGTCTCTATTCAGGTAAAATGGCATGTATGGGAATATTGTCTAGTTGTTTTTTTGTGTACCCTAGTATCTCAATTCGGGTGAAAGTTACATATTCGAGAATATTGTCTAATAATAGAGTTTGCTGTACTTTGGTATTTCTATTATTTTTGGGTCAATAGTTTCGAGTGTATGAGACCTTGGTAAAGTTATTTTACATTTTTTACTTTCTTCTTAAATCGCCGTAGTGAGCTTATTTGTTATAACTCTTCAGGGCAAGGGCGTACCCAGCTCAAAACGGAAGGGGGCACCTTCAAACAAATTTTTTGTGTTGCACAAATCATATCTACTTAAGTATGCTTAATATTTCATTGTTTTATCCATTTTATACAGTTTTCCGCCATGATTTGACAATTCATATGGATATGGAAAACTACTAGATTAATTTTTTGAATCATTCAAGTAAATATTGCACGAGATGCTTTTTTCAGTCAAGTCAATAGACCAGGGAAGTACTGTAATCGCCAAAAAACTTCAAATGGAAGAATCATTTTCAGGATACCCTGTAAATTTTCATCTTATCTACACAAGTGTCCAATAAACCTTATTGGAGTTTTGAGTTATCATGAGGTGAATTTAAAAAAAAATGTTTTGACATAGTATATTATACTGAAAATGGAAAAGTTTATTCTATCTTGTCTACAGTTTTAAGTTACCTTAATAACAAACTTATAAAAAATGCCGATCACACATGTTTATCTTATTTCATAAATATACACACATACAACATTTTTCTGGTCTACTTTTTACATTTTTATACATATGATATTGATATATTCATTTAACTGAGACACATAAAAGTCTTCCAAATGCTTAAACTGACAATTATGAGACTCAAAGATGACTTGATGCTGTATCCGGCATTGCACCCGTCTCCAGTACAGGTATAGACGCAGGTTCTATAAGTCAGCTCATCACCGGGCTGCTTCACAAAGTTGCAGTAGTTCCCCAAGTCGAGCGATGAGCAGAACCTCTTAGCACCGATTCCTCCTAAAAAAAAAACAAATATACGAAAGAACCACGCAATTTCCTAATAGAAATCGGACTTACGTTAAATTTGTTGAATTTCTGATATATTCCATGTCTCGCCTTCCTGAACGAATGTCTGAATAGGCACAACCTTCTAAACCTTAAGGGTTATGAGATAAACATGGTTGAAGTTGAAGATTAAAAAGTAGATCATTATCATTTTTTGACGTCAAGTACAATGCCGACCTGAGATCATCGGGAGCTTGAAAAGTATACAAAAAGAGGTTTAAAATTAACGTTCTTGATACAAAACGTTCAAAATAATCTATTACCTGAAATTGAAATATTTCTGCGAACATGATAATATATGCACATGCACGAGACGAAAGTGGCATCAACCACTTGCAATTCAATTATGAGCAAATGATTCTTAGATTATACAAAATGTCAATGCTGCTTGGCAATATGGCTGTTACTGTGGAAATTATGTCTGAACGTCCAAATACAGCATATGGTTTGACATTTTCTTGGAGAATACGCTAATAAATGTTAATAGGCTTCTTTCACAAATGTCTTGGCACTTTGTAAAATCTTAAAATACTTCGATCAAAATCGCAGAAATATTCCCATGTACGGGGGCATAAAAAATTATGAATGTGCTTTATAATCTAAGATAATTCAACTTCAACCATTTTTATCTCACAACTTTTAGGGTTTAGGAGGTTCTACCTTTTGATACATTTGTTCAAGACAGTGAGATATGCAACTTGTCAGAAACTCAATCAGTTTAACGGAAGTCCGATTTCCACAGGGAAGTTGCGTGGTTCTTTATGAGCAACGTCAATGCCTTAAAAACATTGCTTAAGGAAATGTAGCAACTGAAACTTATTCTGTGGTTATAATGTTTGTAGGACAATCATGCAGTTCTATTGTTTAGGAATTTTCCAATGTTTTGTGTCTTTGTAAAGTTTCAGGCTCGAACACATCTTACTTCTTGACTAATTCTTTAACAATTCAGAATGCCAGAAGTAGCCGGAACGAATTTAGGAAAAATTTGCCAACCATGCATCGCTGCTTCATTGAATTCGATATACTCGTATCCTAAATTATTTTGGGCTACTTCTGGCATACTAACTGAACTAAGCAAGAGTTGCAGCCTTAAAGATATCTGGCAATGATCCTTCCCAATTAATGAAATATATCGGTTGTACAATGTTAATCGTCATACCAATTTCGTTAAGAGGAAAATTCTTAATTGTAAATTGTAATTTTGATTAAAAATACTTTAACAGGTTAGTCAAGCATATACATTTTATTCTACGGATATGCAATCATGCAAAATATTTCATGCCGAGTTGTATTTGAAAACTAGACAACTTAGTGTCCTAACTAAGTAACCTTTATGGTGCATACCCATACATTTGTTCAGACATGCTGTGACTTAAGATTTAAGGTATAATAGGTGATTCTGAGCGAGAGGGGGTTAATTAGGCATTCGCAAAAGGAAACTTCGTAAACTATGAAAGTGCATCAGCCTTCAAAAGCTTTAATGTTCAGAAGACCATATTCAGGGAAACGCAAATTTGTTTGACGGCTTGAGTTCAATGTGTATGAGAGAGAAGCGTGGACGTGTGTATCAACACATGTTAGAAAGAGATAGAAGCCGGCTGACACTGTATTACCACATTGCCTAGCAATGGTGCAATAAGTTAGGTTACTGTCAAAACCAAGAGGGATGTTTGTTCGAACATTTAATTTAATATTTTGTTTTGTCCAGCTGGCTTCAATCTCTTTCTAACATATGTGTCAATACCCACTTCTCTCTCGTACACTGTCAACTCAAGCAGTCAGATAAGTTTGGTTTTTAGTGTATGTGCATATTATTCAGGAGCCGCCACAACTCCCGTCGCAAACCTTGCAGACGCCCCTTTCTTTTAGAAACACAGTTCAAAAGACTTTTTTCGACCCTACGCATCTGGTGTATTCACACTGATATACTTGGAGTGGTTTATTGGAAAAGTGAGGTATCAGTACACCCTATTTCACTAGTATCCGTTACGTATTGACGTCTAGTGAGGTGAACGGCTGATCAGTAAGTGACATCTTTGTATTAGTCTGTAACATTGGTAATAATGAATTTGGTGTAAATCTGGTAAAACTTAGGACTGTATTTAGACCTATTGTTCACATATCTAAGATACTTTTATATGACTGAACATTTTGACAATAAAATAGGCGAAATACACATAGAAAAATGTTAATCAGAAAATTGTTATAGTACATCTGGAATTTATTGATTACAAGGTAAGTCAGTAGAAGAAGAAGCTGTAATTTTACATGTTAAAATAATAGACACGTATTTCTGGTTAGATATCCGTCGTTGTCTTTTAAAGTCATCTGGTGTTTCAAGTTATAGAAAGTAGAGGCTATTAACAAAATCAGAAACTGTTTATCTCATTTTATTTCTACCTGACTTGAAATGTAGTCATGATAATTAACAGCTATTTTGCTTGTAGTTTTCTTTTGTGTGCGCATACATTTTTCTGAATAAAATACGGCTCTGTCTACCTGGCGTTGACGGATGCGTCAGAATTGTGCGTCACTTGTCGATATGGGGAATTCCGAAATATCATTAGATAATCAGCTGTTATTCACCGTAATGGGTACTCGTGAAGTATGTCTTGAGTGCGGTGAGATGCGTGCACACGAACTCAAAGACACGTCAGCAGTGGTGTACGATGTGTTGCGCTACTCTGTTCCATTATGATACGTGACGTAGTATTCGCATATACATAATTATGCAGAATGTCAAAAAATATGGATACATCAAAATATCTTGGAAAATACGTTTCCTAGAGAATAATGTTGTAGAACAAAGTTGTATGGTTTAAAAATTCTCATCTAATTGTGACCTTCAGTGAGTTTCACTACGACCTTCAAGGTCATTTGTAGACAGTTTTCTTGAATAGAAATTCCTACTCCTATATCGGAAAGGAAGACCTTGCTCATGAAAAATATACACATAAAACGACAGATAATAAAATAACAAGAAACAACAGACCGCTGCTAAAATTGAATATCTAAAATTGGACAGCATCACCAAAGGCCAGCAACCATATGAGAAAAAATGGTAAATCAACAAAAATATAATACAATATAAAAATGTATAAAAAGACAAACAATAAGTGGACAACAAGCAATATCAAAAAGGAACTTTTAAATATTAAGAAAGTCGCTGATAGCGTAGCAACACTTATAATTATATACCTAGTATTTCAACGGTCAATGTAACGGCCAATTCCATGGCCAAGGTCGTAGTCACGGTCTAGATCGTGGCCAAGGTCATGGTCAAAGATACGCTTGAACGTAACATTAGACACTCTACATGTGTGGTGTCAAAAATAGGGGTTCTCTGTTAAAAAAACTGCAATGACCTTCGAATGACCTTGAAAGTCATAGTCAAGATGACGTTCAAGGTCACTATTAGATGGCTCTTTTCAAACCTTACGAATTTAGTCTACAACATTGTTATCTGTAAACGTATTTTTAAGATATTTTGATACATCAAAATGTATCCATACTTGTTGGACACCGTATATACGTATATTATCTACAAAAGCCAAAAAACCACAAAGCAACAAATAAAGTACCATCCAGACTCATCATCTTAATGCAGTACCGAGCTTCGAAAACATGGTCGCAGTTTTGAGGTTGAATGCCAGCCATGTGGATCATTCCATCTGCACAATCCAGGGATTCTAATGCAGAACATTGGTAGCAGAAGATCGCAGAAGCTGAACGCAGCAATTCCAAGGAAATTGATTGTTAGTAGTAGCAGGAAATATATTTAGAATTAATAAACCGACAATCTATCTAGAATTATGAGTTAACATTTTATTCACCAGAACGTTTGCACTTATGCTTCTAGTTAGTTGACCTCAATATAACACCCAGGCACCTTGATTTGATATTCAGGATGGTAGCAAAGTACCTCGCCAAACTTCAGGGAGGCATATTTTGAGAATAAATTTCACACAAACATAGGTCCCATAATACTTCATTTGAGAACAGTGGGTGTTAAATTTAATTTCAACTATTTTTGTAAAAAAAGCAATAACTGTAGCCGATTTTGCTATTAAAATTTGTGGAAAAGGTGCAGTGATATCGCAAAAAATACAAATTAGGTCGAATAAGAAAAACGCTTTAATTAAAACCCACCGCCTTCGCTAAACGAGAAAATTAAAAGATTTAAATCTGATGATCCAAATGGCATTGACACGGCCATTTGTGGTTTTAACAAAGTTTTGTTTTTCTAGGAAGATTTTGATTGAATGTAGTGCTATACCCTGCTAAATTCCAACAAATTTTAACGAAATCAACTAAAAGCTTATTACGTTTTTTTTCTCGGCGTAAGTAAATCAATACATTGGTTAGTAGGTGAGTCCCATTGTCCACAGTTGATCGGCTTCGTTAGCATACGATGAAAATACCTTCGAAACGGCCAATGTGCTTAATACAATATTTGGCATTGTAGACGGCATCGCATGGTTCTGGCTTAATATCTATATCATTGCTCAACCACTCGTTGCACTGAAAAGGCTTCTCAGGATCACTGCCGGAGCATTGGTAACAATTCAAAGCGTGAGCTAAGGTTTGATAAAATAAAAAATAAATGCAAAATAAATACTGTGCAAAAGATCCCGTAGAAACCCTATAGGGAATGGCTATTTTTTTAAATTTAGTTCGTTGTAGATCTCAATACGTAGGGTGGCCAATATATAACTCACTGATTGAAATTCAGCGCCATTTTTGGTACACGCATTTCAATAGGTGGCGCTGTAGTCAAAATATGTACCCAATGTCAACACCATTCGTCAGTTGGTGCGGAAATTTGAACAAACAGGTGAAGTTAAAGACTTGCAAGGTCAGGCCGTGTTCGAACTGTTCGTACTCCGGAAAATATCGAGACAGTTCGTGAAAGTGTAGTGGAGCGCCCTGAGACGTCTACCAGACATCGTTCTCAAGAACTGGGTATTTGTCGCACGTCATTATGCATTATTTAAAAAAAGACTTGCATTTGCTGCCATACAAAATTCAGTTAACCCAAGTACTAGAGCCTAGTGACAACGAAAGTCGCCGACAATACAGTCATGCAATATTGCAGCTTAATACCCAAAATAACGACAGCTGATAATGAGCGACGAAGCCCACTTCGATATGAAGGGATTTGTTAATGAGCAGAATTGTCGTATCTGGGCATTAGAGAACCCTCGTGTCATCTATCAACGACCACTACAGCAGGATGGAGCAACTATTCCCGGGACGTTTAATTTCTAGACTTGGTGATGCCAACTGGCCGCCAAGGTCACTGGATTTAACGGCTCTTGACTTTTTTTATGGGGATTTTTGGAAAATAGGGTTTATGCCAACAAACAAAATAACTGTAGAAGCTGAAGAACAATATTACGGAAGAGATTGAAAATATTCCTTTCGAAACGTAGCAAAAAGTGATGGAAAATGTAATCAAGAGGGCTCAGGTTTGCGCGGCTTCTAGATATTTATCTGATATTATTTCTCATACATAATTTCTAAGTTTCAATAAAAGATTAAGATGGAAAAAATGGACGTATATTTCATTTCACAAATATTCAAGATACAAACCAGTCAGATCTATATCGGCCACCCTGTACAACAAAAGCGTCCATGGGCTCGAATAAGTTTTTCCACGAATAGTTTTCAAGGGTGCTCTTGCTTGCTCCAGTTCTTCCAGACCAGACCATCGGTTTTACGTGTTGAGATCTATAGCGCATTAGTTGAAAAAATAGTTGAAAGCCATTCCCCGTAATGTTCCTGTGAGGTTTTAAACTTAATCCAAGGAATAAACACATATTAGATATTTGAAAATAGCATCAAGTAGGACGACTTAGTACCTTCCATGCAATATTCTATATTCGAAATAACTTGGTTTGCGGTTGAGGTGACTTAGCGTTGTAGTCAGATATAAAATTATAAAAACATTCGTGGATTTTGCATTTCAATTTAGGAGTAACGTTTTAATGTCAATGTCAAACTTCATACGGCCCCCGATAGCATGAAATACTTATTCATTGAATATTCATTTAATATTTAATAATATTTTTATCTTACTTAAATATTTGTTTTCTTAAACAAATATTTAATAAATATTTGTAATACAATATTTTTATTAAATATTTATTCAATATCTTTTAAATATTTTCAATACAATATTTCTTTTACAATATTCATTAAATATTTTCGTTTCAATCAATGGAAAATATTACATCTCCAATATTTAGAAAATATTCATTAAATGTTTTCGGCTACGGCGCATGTGCGTGTGACCTCGAGCGGCCAATGGGATAATAGCAAGCTGGCCTGAGGCGACCCGTTTGCCGGCACCCATTTTACCTGTGACTTTCACTATGATAGCGTGCTTCCTGTATACGCCCAAGTGGTTCATTATTTGAGTGTTTTTTTGTGGAAAAGGGTAAGTTTTTCGATAATTACATAGCTTAATTTATCTGACTGGTAAACATTATTGTGCCAGTTGAGTATAAAGGTATTCACAATACCATAAATAACTAGCCTGGAAGTGTAACAGTTATTTGGTATTGGTGGATTTATCTCAGAATGGATACGAAGATATTTTCATAACATGCCAATGAAAAGACATATAATCGCAACTTGATCAAGATATATCAAAAATGCTTTTTTAAATATCTCAACTATTATTATTACTATTTTTCTCGTAGTACGTTCAAAAATTTTAACAGTCGAACATACTTTTGCCCCTTGAATTATAATATAAAATCACAAAATAGTTATGACTAGAAAAAGTCACATTTCAACAAAATCAATAAGTGGTCTATTTTCAAAAACCTATTCTTTAAAAGTTTGTCAAAGGATCAAGTCGTGCCCATGGACATTTTTCATCAAGATATTTAAAATAACATACCAAATTTTCTTAAAAATTAACCAAATCTCGAACAGGCAGAAAATGAGAGGTCCTTTTAGGTGCATTATAGAGCTGCTTTTCAGTGGCCCAGTTGAGCTACTCGGAGTAACTGACCATGCTCTGCATCAATATTGTTCCACTGCATTTTATATTCCCATAAATACACTGGAGCAGCTTATGTATTCAATAATACTTCATAATTAGTAAGTTTGTTTTTTTTTCAGAGGAGTGGACTTGCAAGATGAAGAAGAGGCTTAGAATGTTTTTTTAATAATATTGGTCTAGCAAATTAAACCATTATATCTAGAATGAATTTTATTTATACAACCAATTTTATATAAGCATTCCTACAGCTTTTGCTAAAATAGCCAATGAAGAATTTTCTATATACACTGAAAATATGTTGATAGAAATCCACACATATTTAAGAAAAATTTTAGATATTTCATCAAAATATAAAATTGATATTTAAAAATCTTTCCTCATATATTTTCTAAATATTTGGAAAAAATATCGCAAAAGTATATGAATTATATATACTAAAAATATCTATAATGAATATTTTATAAATATATAAGAAATATATTTATTAAATATTAAAAAATCTGTCACTACAAATATTTTTTAAAAATATTTAATAAATATTTAATGCTATGGAGGCATTGAAATATTAATCTACCATTGTATTTTTTATGAAATGTTACGGGGAAACATCTGTACGGCAGAACCATCGGTTTTTCAAATTTTGAGCCAGATATCTAAAAAATGACGTCAAGTAGGTTGACTCTGCACTTCCCAAGCAACAAAGCAATTCAATAGATTAAGTCAGCCGAATAAACTCATATAATTAGTCCCCGGACCCAGGCCATGCCCAGGCATGTGGAATACAGAGAGTGAATCTACTTGACTGCATGTCCAGGATCGCCAAAGGAAAGTGGGATAAGCTAGCATCTGTATATTTCTCTGTATCCATGAGAGCAGCATTCAAATCCATATTAGAAAGTTAACACCTAAAATATATTGCAGAAACCCCAAAACAGCTGAAATTTAGCAATACGAAACTCATTGTACATTAATGATGCTTGAGTTGGCTGGTAGCTGAGCTGAAACTCCCTTTCTCATCGAATAGACTACTTTAAAATGCAAAGCTTGCGAAAACTACCCACCACGTTTACAACAGGCTCTAAAGCGTAGACTTATTCATGAACGTGTTGGTGTGAGAGGTGTGACTTTACCCAGTGGGGTGCATTTCGATTTTAGTTCTTCCATCAAACGTATACAAAGTGAGGTCAAATACGTAAGGATTTATTTAAAAAAAATGGTGTCAAGTAGGTTGACTCTCACTTCCCACGCAACGCCGTCGTCCGTTTATAAAGGATTATGTTCAGCACAAGATAAACCTTCCTCTCTGAGAAAAAAGCTCAAGTCAGTCAATAGACATTCATTCCTTGCTCTACCGGTAGTCTTGGCAATGTCGCCTCTCCCCGATACCTGACCCAAAAGAGGGAAAATATGATGTGTGAAATATGTCTGATAGGTGCGTCAAATGACCGAGGTTGAACGTGTATTAATACACTAACATCAAAAATTGTGATACATCCTCCCCCACTGCCTTACAACCACTCTCCATTAATTTGTTACCCCTAAAGATCTTCCAAAATTATTAGAATCCTGTGCAACTTCAAAAAAGGGAGTTTGAGCAATTTTTATTCTTTTCGTTTTTGGAATTTTTCTCCGCCGCCACTGACCGATTTTCAAACACTTTTTCGTCTTTCGCATAGTATTTACCGAGTGTGAAAATTTAATTCGACTCCGAGCAGTAGTTTCCAAATTAAAGACTGGCCAAGGATTTGCGGACAAACCGACAGATAGAGCGACAGATAGGCTGACAGACAGACAGGGTGACAGACAGACAGACATGCGAACAGGCAGACCGACGGAAGTGATTTTTATGATGTACATATATAACATTCAAAAAACAACATCTTATTTTTGAAATGTTTCGCGATTACAATGCTTTCTCGCTAGTAGGCGTGGGAAGAAAAAACCCAAAATGTCTTATGTACAGGGTGACAAAGTTATGGATTTCCACTAAATCGTTTAAACGAAAAGTGTAGTGTGTTTTGTGGCAAAAATTATTGTCCACACAGAGAAATAAACAGTGGCACAAGTATGTTTTTCTTCAAGTCCATCTAGCTCAAATCCAAAACTTTACCACCCTGTATCTATATGAAATTATTTTTTTCAAAATGGAACCCAATAATCGCTGCTTATGCAATTTACCCTAGTTTGAAATGCCCTGTATATAAAACAAACAGTAATAAATAGTAATTTTTAAAAACTACAGGATGTTCCCAAAACATGTCCATGAAAGTGATTTCATGGGCGATTCAAAAATTATATTGTCTATTCACGATATTTTTGAAAACAAGCACATACTTTTCGCTAACAGCTTCCATTAGCAAAAACCACATGTAAAGTTTTTTATCTACAAACACCCCTCACACTTTTTTTATTATGAATAAGGAACTTAAAATGTCATTTCCACTAATACAAAAATATCTCGCAAACTTCGTCTACTGCAAAAACGGTCAAAGCACAAAATAGTCTTAGGTTAAGGACCTCACATGTTCAGCTTTTTGAGGTGTCACAATTTTTTAAAAACCTGGTGGATAGTTTTATGAGACTCAACATTTTTTACACTGTTAAGTTTAAGTTTAGTTGATCTAATACATTTAGAAATTCACATTTTTTTTTATTAGTACTCCAATCAGGTAATATGGAATTCAAAAGTTCAGGAAGTTCTGTGTTCGATATATTTATTGAAATTTCTATAATTTTTGATGAGTGCAAAAAGTTCTTTTTTGAATGGACGGGAGTGTCGAAAAACCTTTAAATAACAATTTTTCGTATTCCGTGGGCTTATATATCCCGAGACAATGTCAAAAAAGGGCGCAAACTCCCATTTTACAGGCAATTCTAATGAACTTAAAATTTGTAAGTTTTTCAGAATTTCTACGCGAAGTTCAAATATGGACTTAGTTTGTGGGAATACCGATACAAGTTGCTGTATATTTTTCCGTTGACAACGTATAACTGAATAATAAAAATCGAAAAACGCTATGGCTGACTTCAAGCTTAGCAACAGAAAAATCTACGATTCAGGACTTTAAAATTACTTGTACTATTATTTAATTAAGCTGACTAAGTAATTTTCGATTCGTTATAGCGCATTTGGTCCTTCTTGTCGGAATTATCCAGCTAGGAGGACCAAAAGACCATTGTAAACATAACCTGAATTTGACGAAGCTCCATGGTTACAAAGCTAAACAAATCGGATGACAGACACGCCTACATTACAAACAAAACAAATGAAAAGTACTTACACGTTTTGAAATATACACAACACACTATAGTAAAGATTAGTATCCTCTCTGTTTGGGACATTTTTTGCAATTTTATCGCCTAATGTAGACTATTACTGAGTTTCTAAAATTGAAATTCAGGTTGAAAGTAGAGAGCAGGTAGGCTGGACACACCTTTACCGCTCGCTCAGACTGTCGCTTAACGTTAACTTAAGCTTTATTAGTTTGCAACGTGCAACGTAGTCCCCTCTCGATACGGTCACCGGCGGTCAGTGGCGGCCTATCATTTGGGTGCCAGCCCGGTGAGGGTTTAAGTTCAGCGCATCTGTACGTCAGAGCCAGATTATGACAAGCCCATTGTCGCCTAAAATGAGATTTATATGTTAAGTCCATCATAATATTGTGCATTTTTATTTGCTAGTTCCTTAATGCCCGCATAATGTCAGGACGTCCGGTAAGTAAGATGGACGTTTCTGGGATATCCTCAACTGGATGTCATTTCGGCAGTACATAAGACTATACATATATATATAAAGAGAAAATGATCATGCGGAGAATGGTATATAACAGCTTAAAGTACCACAGCAAGTAGGTATAACCGGTCGCGTGGTTGTGGTTAGGTGTCGCCTTGAAAATTCGAGATCTTCTAGCCATTTCATACTACAATGTGTAGGTTGGCTCTCCATCTTCGTTTCCTCAGGTTACACCCGTACCCGGATTTATGGGCACGTGCATCTACATTTGTAGTTACATATGTGCATTTATTTCGGGCCTGATGAAGCCAACCAGCAGAAATACGTATCGCACGGGTTACCTATCCTATTTTCTGCTCGAATCCATTTTCCTTCTTTTTGCGGATTTTCCTATTTTTTGTTATATATATATTTATTTCAGATATGAAGTGGCATCGGCCCATGCGAAAATCCAGGTTCAAGTGGCATCCGAGGTCAAGCGGCATCCGTGTATCGGTGGCATATTATGATTGTGTGAGTTCGAAAAACAAAAAATTAGAAGGAGATTAATTGACACCGAAATTAGATTTTGGATGTGTATTTTAGTGTTAAAGCGTATAGCCTAGGTGGCGCTGAGCTAGGGTGGAGTATATTCATCACTATACCACCCGTGGCTAAGGTGGAATCCAGAAACACTGACAACCACGTAATTGTTTGTAGTTTCATTCATAGGTCAATGTGTATCCATATCTCAGCGAGTTGGAACAAGGTTTAGGTAAAGGAAAATAGGTGACACGCGAATTGATGCTAAACCACAACACGTACGACGTTTGACCTCGTAAAACCGAATCTATACTATCTATTTCACGGACCGAAGCGTGGGTATCTTTTTTTATAAGGAGGGTTGGGGCATGGGCAGACTTATAGGGACCGCAGTGTACGTCAAAGTCTGCCATTTTTTTCCATAAAATTGTACATATTGCCGTACCTTGTTGCGAAAATTAACTTGTTAGCCCTGAATCGTGAATGACGTTTCCCACTCCCCGCTCCTTAATTTTCAATCGCCGATACATCCCTGAACATGATTTTATGACCTCCACTGAGCCCCCTCCTAGACAGATTTCTAAATTCGTCTCTGGCTGGGGGTTATTATTTTCAAAGTTTAAATTTAAATTACTTAGGAAAACTCTTAAAGGGTCCTGTCGATTAAGCATTGGGTCAATATTCTTAAATATTTTTTATAAAGCATTTGGATCGAACTTAAAAAAGTAAATACTGCATATATTTACTTTTTGTCAAGCTTGACGGTTCAATATTTCCAAGTCGTAGCTACTTAGCACGATCTTTTATACATTACCTCTGACAAATCTAATAAGATAAACACTATCTATCGTCGGCCGAGGGATAAAACACAACTCTGAAAGTACCCAACGTCCTTTGTTCCGAAATCGATATATGGTTTTTTTCATTATCGCAAAGTTTGTCCATATGGTACTATCTTAAAATAGAGTATGAAGGATTTTTATTTTGGCGAGCCGGATGAGTTACTCGAAAAAGCTTATGGTCACTCTCACTCTAAAATGGCATATTTTCGTTTCGCTCATACGAATTTTGCTGATGTTAAGTATATATATATATATATATACAGTGAAAGCTCCCATAAGCGGACACTCACGGTTCTGTAACTTTTGTCCGCTTATGGGACGTGTCCGTTTAAAAGAGAGTATGTAAGTATAGAGTATAAATAACGGGGTATATAATCATGAGGAAATGAGGTATTATAATCATGAGAAAAATGAAACAGAAACTCGCCACATTTTTAAAGTATGTATTTATGTTATGCTATATATCTATATAATATATGTACATATACGCATACAAAAACATAAATGCTTCAATACATGGTACGAGAATTTAAAAAAAACATTATTCTTTAGCTTGTTGAAAAAAGTTTAAAATGTTTGTCTGACGAAATTTCACCATCTTTTGCTGAAGGAGACAATTTTCGTAATAACTTTCTAAATTTTTCAAATGTTGAAATGCAGTGAAATCATCTTTAGCAAATTTTTTTAATATAGAAATATGATTTAGAGCTTCCCCATATGAATTTATCGTTTTTGAACCGCTTAGTGAGTCCACCAGTTCCACTTCTTCTTCTGAGTCGTTTGGACTACCATATTCAAGTTGGCCTGGGCTTTCTACATCCAAATTCGAAAAGTTGCCAATGGCATTTTCTTCTGTTGTTATGTTATTGTCTATGGCCAGGAAATCATCTACTTTCTGGGGATCTGCTACTCCTAAATGTTTGGCATGTCGCAGTAACTGAGCAAGTGTCGCTAAGGACAGATCGTCTTCAGCATCGCAATAATTTTGCTCAGCAAATTCTGAGCTACATTCACTTTTTCTGAATCCAGCTTTGCCAAAACAGTTTTTAATTGTAGAGGAATTTACTTTATTCCATGCTGTTTTTATAAAATACAAAGCTTCTAACACATTGATAGACTTTGTAAGCTCAGATAAGCTTTGACCATCGTCAATTTTTGTTAAAATATGTTTTAAAATCAAGTGCCGATAATAAAATTTAAAGTTCTGTATGACACCTTGATCCATGGGCTGACAAACAGAAGTTGTGTTTGGTGGTAAAAATATAATTTTCACATTTTTCATTTTCATATCACGAGGATGAGAGCATGCATTGTCTAAAAATAAAAGAACTTGCCTTTTTTGGATTCTCATTTTCCGATCGAATTCGACTAACCACTCAGACATGATTTCTCGGGTCATCCATGCCTTTTTGTTGGATTTCCAAGTCGCTGGTAGATCCTTAATAGCAACGTTTTTTAAAGCACGGGGACGAGCCGCTTTCCCGATCACAATCAAATCGCATTTTTCACCGGCCATATTTGCACAGAATAAAATGGTTAGTCTATCTTTAGACAACTTTCCACCCACACATGTTTCTCCTTTAAAGGACAGAGTTTTGTCGGGCAATGCGCGAAAAAAAGTCCACTCTCATCTGCGTTGTACACATCTTCTGGTTTGTAGCCAAGCAACATGGACGGAAGTTTCTCCAAAAATTGTGACACATCAACTTGATCTACTGCAGCAGCTTCGCCAGATATGGATTTGAAACTCACACTATGTCTCTTGCGCCACTTTTGCAGCCACCCGTCGGACGCACTGAAATTATTATAGCCCAAAGTAGTGGCGATTTCTTTAGCTTTCATTTTCACTAACGGCCCTGAGATTGGAATGTTCTGACTTCTAGCTTTCACAAACCACTCAAAACATGTTTTGTCTATTACAAAACCTTCCTTTTTTAAAAAATCCTTCTTTTGATTTATATTAGTTCCTGATTGCCATTTACTCCTGATATCTTCCTTATTTTTGGCAATTTCAGCTGCTTGCGTTTTCCCAATATTAAACCTCTTTGCCAAATGACGAACTGAAACACTTTCTCTGTCTAATACGTTAACAACTTCCTTCTTTTCCTTTAACGAGAGCATCCTTTTTTTTTTTGGTGCCATTTTACAGTTACAATAATAAAATACGTAACTCAATCAACTACGAATTTGCCTGAACTGAAGACAAGCCACAAGATTACATACAGGCTACCCAACGAAATGCGTAAATGGGGAATCACCTAATATAAATCGAGGAATTACCGAATTTTATGTATGTAGATATGTGCATTGCAATAAGCGGAACTAAAAAATCGTCCGGGTACTAGAGTTTCGCGTCCGCTTATGGGAGATTTTTTGATCACATACAGGAAAATCTAGTGTCCGCGTCCGTTTATAAGAGCGTCCGTTTATCGGAATGCATTTAACATTGAAAATTGATGGCTGAAATTCGGTTCCAGGAACTTTGTCCGGTTAAAAGAGATGTCCGCTTATAGGAGCTGTCCGCAAGGAGAGCTTTCACTGTATATATAATTCCAGAAGTTTTCGTGACATGGTAGGCAGTTTTTATGAAGTTTACCTCTGCCTTCAACCGCCTGTACCGGTCCAGCAATAACTACATATGTTTTAGCTGCAATAGTACACGTTTAAATTTAATTCTACTGTAAAAGGTTGCATACATGGGCGATCTTATTTTTAAAAAATAAATGCCCCTTTCACCTCTCTTACGTTGGTCATTAATAATAGCATGCTGTTTTTAACGTGCTAATACCGTTGTCAGTGTGTCACAAATTAGTTGATAAAGCTGGTACCAATTACCAGCAAGCATAGGATTTCAAATATTCCAGTTTTTACCAATAATATAACATTTGTCAGACTAATGGAAGTGTCCGGGTTAATGGCACATTTGCACTACAAGATTTCGTTAGCACAAGATTTTTGATATTTGTAGATATTTAATAAAATATCATTTTTCGCCAAGTCTGTTATTAAGGCAATAAAAAATTATTCATTCATCAATATAATATGTCTAAAAAAGCTATATCTACCAATAAAAAAATCTGATTTGAGCACAAGTTCGGCATTTCGATCGATAGCGATACCAAAATGACTGGACTATGACAGAATTCAACGAAAACCAACAAGCAACGAATTTCATTCACTTCAAGTAAGATTCAGAGTCAGCCTACTTGACACCGTTTGTAAGATCGAATTTCAGTGTTTCATTTTCGAACGACCCTTACTTAATTGATATGTAGTTAATCTGTTAATTACAAATTGAAACAGAATATCTTACAACGAAAGAATATCACAATATGATTTAGGTATCTAAATTTTTGCCATCATATTTATGTAACTGCAGTAGGTACCTCTGATATCACAGACAGTAATAATTAAAATAAAAGAAAATG